CGCCCAGCCATTCCCCCAACCTCCTAAGCATCCAACCACCCACCACCCAGCGCACCACCCACTGAACCACCCAGAGCAACCCGAGGCTAAGCTTTCGGTGTACAAATCCACTTAGTTGCTAATTGGCGGCAAATCAGCTGGCTAAAGCCTGCTTTTCTGTTCGGCTTTCTTCTAGAATCGAATCGAATCGAATCGAATCGAATTGATCCAATGGTTATACCTCATATTTTAGGGCGGGTTTTCCAGAAGTTTTAAGGAAATACAAAATAAGTACTTTCCTAATAGTTATAACCAGACATCCAACGGAGCTGCAGCAAAAACTATTTGAAAATGATAAATATCTTCTTGGATCTAGGAAACATCTCTTTTTCCCACCCAACAAATAATTGAATATTTACGTAAGATTCGATATTTGTACATATTTTCTATTCCACTTAAGCGCTATTGACTCGGCTACTCTTGGATGGAACACTATTGGCAGCACTGATTGTTCTACTTGTTTGGGTTTGTATCTTTGTATCTTTTCTAAGCCAGCGAGGAATCGCATCACGTGCAGCATGGAGATCCCCCCGCCCGTACAACCATCACCGCTTTTCTCGCACTGTATCTGTTTTTTATGCTTCTTCTATTTTTATTTTTATTTTTATTCTGGCTCTGTGTGTTTGTTTCGGTCCAAATCCATTTGAGGCAGCAGGAGCTGGCACTTTTTTTCGGCTCAGGCTCTGTGTGGCTTTAAACCCAAACCAGAAACGGAAAACCAGAAACAAAAAGAGAATACAATGATCGGAGGGACGAGGGAAGCAAGTCGCGGCTCTTGGGCGCCTTGGCTTTTGTGGTCAGTCAGTTTTGGCCGTCTGTGATGGTCGTAAAAATACCCAAGAGATGTCGAAGGCATGTTGCAAAATTTCAAGCTCAAGTCGAAATGGCAGCCAAAGTCTGTTCCACACTCACACGTAGTGCAAAACACCAAAACACCGAAGGAGCGCACACACACAAAGCGCAAAGTTGCCTGTTTGGATTTCAAATGGTCAAAATGTGGACATTTGCTTAAAGAAAGAAAAAAATCCAGATACCAAGATACTTCTTTGTGTCCCTCTCCTTTCCACGAAACAAGTCTGGCGAAGAAGAGCTTGTTTTCGCATTTTTATGTCCATTGCAAAATGCGGTTTGGCCCATTCAAGAAGCTTATGTAATGCCCTACAACTGAGATTCCTTACAACAATGTGCCGACATGGCAGGCAACTAATTAAAATATTCAAATAACACTTGAATATACAGATCTACACTAGACATCCACCTGAACAGCCTTTAAAGATTAAGCTTGAGCATTATCTTGAGCAAGCACTTCCGCATGAAGCGAACTAAATACACCTGGATATGCATTATTATTAGCCCTGTGTTTTATGCGTAAGTAGCGCCCTTTGGCAGTCGACCTAGTTGGGTAGCCGGAAAATAAGTTGGTCTACAAGCTCCACAACTCGGGACCTCTCGGCTGCACTCGCCGTCTCTGTTTTATCCAATCCCTCTATCACTTGCACGCACTCACACAAAATTCCTGCTTTTATTCTTTTTTGCCCGCTTTTTGCCCATTTCTTTTTTTTAAATAAAAGTTTGCGTTTTAGCTTTAGCCAGATTTATGTTTTCCTGCTTGCGTTTGCAGAATTGTTGTCGGAAGTTTTTTGTGCAGCATCATGGCACACACACAGAAAGTTCTCAAAAAGACGTAATAAAAAAACAGAAATAAAACAAGAAGGGAAAAAATGAAGTAAGGAAAAGCCGGGCTCTGTGGCAGCTGGAAAATGGCAAATGGTTTGGGCCGGGGGAAGTGAGGCGACCGCAAAATATGCTCAGTAGCATTGATGCGCCTTTTGACCCGGCCTCTGACTTTGACACTGAAACCGAAACCGAAACCGAAACTGAAACTGAAAAAGAAGCAGCCAACATAAAACTAAGAAAGAGCTTTTCCCTGTGACTTGGCATTAGTCGAGCAGGAGTGCGTCTTATTAGCAGTTCCGTGTGGCGCTTACACAGCGAGAAAGTGCGTGTGCAGCTCAGAAGTTTGCTTAATATTAATGAGCATTTTAAATGGCTGGCTTACATGAATTAAGGTTATTCCTCGAAGGTTTAGCAAGACAGATTTTTTACATGTGCAACACGGTATTTATTTTCTTTTTCTAAATATCTGCACATCATTCATGGATATACGAGTGTGTATTATAAGATCAAAGGAGAGCAACTTTCTGCCCCAATTAAGGAAACCATGTAATGGATTTTATAAGAATGTACATCCCACTTTTCACTTTCAAGCGACCCAATTATGGGTCATGTTTATTCTGCAAGTGTGCGAAGTGGTAACCTTTCCTGGCAAAAAGAGCGCCCGAGGCCAGGACCCCATTTCACTTTCACTTGTCCAATTAGCTGTCGAGAATGTACTGGCAATCGGATGTTTAGTACTCCAGATGTCATGTAGTTCGTTTGGTTTTCCACCTCCACCTCCAAATCCTCATCCACATCCACCTCCTCCGATTCGGATTTGCTTTCATTTGTTCTGGCCATCACACCTGGCCTCCGGGGAAGTCGCAATGAAATCGAATCGAATACACTGAATTGGACATCATTAGTAGGGGCGTGGGTCGTGGGGCGTGGATGGGGGGCAGTAGGTTAAGGAGTTCACCTTGTGAAAGTTACCCCCGGAGGCAGGTGAAATGACCAGAGGAATGGGCAATTCGTAGGTCGAAGATGAGTCTGCCTCTTCATCTTTCAGTTGGACTGTACGACTGTAATTGAGATGGGTGCAAAGTGAGAAAGGCAGAGAAGAGGTCCTTCTCGTCCTTCGGTTGTCTTTGGTTGTCTTTGGTCCTCGAGTCCGCCAGTCGAGTGGACCCAAACAACAAGATGTCATATCATCGGAATGGCAGTCTCATTACGAGACTTTGTTCATCGCCTTTTTGTTCGTTTCCCTTTTTGTTGTGTCTTTTGAGCCGGCATTAATCAAAGGTCTTAGGGTTAATGTTTCGCCAACCGACGTGGTGGGGATATCAAAACGATTGCGGTCATAATTATAGCGCTGGGAATAGGAGACTTGCTGCCTCAGGGGGAACTTCGAATGCAAATGTTTAAATCCCTCGCTTTCAAGCTGATTTGTTTCCTATCCACCTTCGTCCGATTGTTGTGCTATTTTCTTGGCCATTGCTGTGCGTATATAGAAGTGTACTGTATTTATTTACCACACACACACACTAAACTAAGCGACTGTTAATGACGCAATTTCCGCAAACGTAAACAGAGGCCTTTGGCAACCTTTGAGGGTCAGTTGCTTTGGCCAACTTCTTGGGTGTTGTTGGCGAAAGCTAATTAGCTTAGCGCGTTTAAATCGCCCGTGCATCGCTCATTTCTAAGGCATCTCTCTCTATCCCCACCCTCTATATACTCTGCTATATACAACATATATATGTATATATAAACGGGTGTGTGCCCCCGGAGAAATGGCTGTCGATAAATAAAATAAGGGGGGAGTGCCTCGAACAAGCCACAAAATACGAAAACAACAACTTGGATAACCCTTTTTCAACAGACAATTCCAAGCCATTACACTGAGAAATGTGACACAATTTGAATAACATTTAAAGTAAAAATTGAGCATCAATTCGGTTTGGATACCGGCTTTTTTCTTTCTTTTTTTGGTGGCATTTGGACATACCAAGCCAACTCCTTGAAGTGATGGATTTGCCTGAAGAGAATATTTTCTTGGGCCTTTTCTTTCACCCATTTTCCGGGGCGTCTTTTCGCTGTTTCTTTTATTTTTACCCCGCCTTGAATTTGTGTTCTTGTTTTTTTTACTTTGTCTAAATTGCGTAAATTATTGGCATATGTTGTCTTCGCAGTCCTGTCGAGAGAGGCAATGAAACATTTTTAACCCTTTTCCTTGGAAATTGACAGGGGCGTAGGTTGGCGGAAGGGGCTTGGGGGGAATGTCGATGTCGGCGTGGCATTTTATTCCATTTTGCTGGCCGTCTTGCGCTGTGTTCTCCCCACTTTTTGTTGGCTCCACCCCCCTTAACCGCCCTTATTGGGCGCCTCTGTCTGGGTGCCAGTTGGCTGTCATTTATCCCCACTTCGAGTTCAGTTTCGGCTTCCACCAATTTTCTCCGGCTCCTCTCGCTCACTTTCTTTTTTTATCATTTATGGCCGTCGTTCTTTGGCTTTTTATGTGCGCTATTTCGCGAAGTAGAACAATAGCCGCCCGCCAGCTCATTCAACCCACTGGCAAGTCGTGGATCCAGGATTCCAGGATCCCGAGTCCTGCGTCCTGAATCCTGAATCCTACTGCTCCTGCTCCCACTCCCACTCCAACTTCATCTTCGTGTGCCTTTGTTACAGCAAAACGGGCAGGGTGAGCCACTACTGTCCTTCACTATCGCTCGTTGCGCCCTCGCGCTACTTTATTGTCTTGCCAAAAGAAATAGACTTTTAATATACTTGGCCATTCAGGGCACAAAACATGGTGTGGAGCTCCCAGGGAAAACTCTTTTTTCCTTCCCCACACAACTGCCAGCAAACACACGGAAAATAGAGCAAAAAGGGACAAGTGTCTGGGAGTGTGGAAATATTAGGCGATTTTGCCAGTTCATTGACTTGCCACAACAATAGTTTGAAGTTTGTCTGCCAAAATATGAGAGTCCGAATAAAATGGAACCAATTCGGGGAGCAGACTCGAAGGGAAGCGACGGAAAACAGAAGCTAAAAAGTTTTTCACTTTAATAGTTCGACCAATTTGAGAGTGGCTAAAAGGCCGGGATAATGGCAGCACAGGGAGTGCAAATAAAATCGCACTCCGATTTATTTGTACTTTTTGTGAGGCGCAATTTCTGACTTGATCAACTTAAAACTTTACAGCTTTATGCCCATCATTTCGGATAAAAATAGGTTCAAGTAAAATCCCTTTTTTTTCAGTCTATAAAACAAGTTGGCCTTGATTTCACAGTTGATTTTTAGTTCGAACATACACAGCCTGATTGTCTCAGTTTGCACACCACACAGTAACTGAGCACAACACATAGAACAAAATTCCCCAATATTGTTGTTTCAGATCTAGAAAATTTGTTCACTTCATTCTGCAGAGCGACTGAGGATTCCCTAGTTAAGACTACCCCAGAGAACCTCAAGCTCTAGTCTAGTCAGTGAAATAAAAGATGGCCGAGAAGAAAGCTGCGGACCAGAAAGATATAGCCAGTGGATCCAAGAGCCGAACAAGCCGCGTGGGGGCCCAAAATAATGCTATATTTGCTCGACTTTTTGCCAGTTTGGATGCCGAACATCGTAAGCTGAAGGAGTTGGAGGCGCGCAGATCGCAGGTCATTGAAGAAATGAAAAACTTAAGGACTCTACTCTTTGCGGAGAATCAAAAACTGCGGCAGACCGTGGCGCCCATGCCGGGAAGTAGTCCCTTACCCATTCCAGCCACCAGTGCTAGTCCCGTCGTGAAAAATAGTTCTGGGAAATCCTCGGTTACAATTGCCGAACCACCAACACAAAGACCCAAGGCGAGTACTTCCCAGGTTTTAAAGAAAAAGGGAAACCGACGAGGTCTTATGGTTCCAACAAGGAAAAGCAAACAGAGAATCGCGCTGGGTAAGTGGTTTATCAAAACTAAGATATGCGACTAGATCTGATCAAATTCGAACTGCATTCATCTAGACAACATATCAAATACCAGAGAGGACATGTTAGACGAGATCGATGCATCCGCGGGCTCCAATTTGCGGACTTTGGAGCTGCGAAGATCCAATTTAGCGGATCGAGCAGATGTAGACGAAGTTTTGGTCTCGCTGCCAGCACTATTTACTTTGTGGAATCCCAATTTGCAGACCACATCTGATAGCAACGATTCTAAGGCCTTGGAAGTGCTTCATAATGCCGACCAAGATGCAAGCTTTTATCTGCCAAGTGCCGATTCCTTGTTCAAGGACATTCTGGGAGCTGATTCAACCCCCATAGAGCTGAATTTGGCGGAAATCGTTGAAAATGAACACGACGCTGATTAAAACCCCATTCTCGAGCTTCTTCTGATAGCTAATCAAACTCTGAACTGCAGCGATTACTGGATCTGGCAACAATAACCCAATGCAGACATTAAATTCAACAAACCCAGCGTTTTCATTGGGATAAACTACCAGGCTATTAGAAAAATCGATGGCTTACAACTTGGAATAGTTGAATTGCTCACCGCACGACTACTTAGGTTTTCAGGGATCAAAGGCAAACAATTTTCCTGTTGATGCCATCAAAAATGTGGCAAAATATTTACAGACAAGTGAGGGCCTATTATTATTTTTGGGATGGCAGAAAATCTGCACATGCTCATGTCATATTCGGTCAACTTTTCTCAGCATATCTTGTGCCTTTTTTTGCTGCCTTGTTTCTTATTCAATTTGCCGACCCTTGGTCCCCTGTCTCAAATTGAAGTCCTGGGGGTCGAGGACACTCTCGACATCCATATCAAAACAAATTAGTTGCCAACTGTCCGAAACAAATGTTGTCTAACGAGCAAAATCGAGTTGTCTCCCATTGCTATAAGAATACACTTGAACTAGGTTGGATATACACATAAATATATACTATATATTTTTGGCATAGGTATGCACATATGTATGTATGTATGACATGTCCACTTCTTGGGAGTTTCGCAACTTATTTGTCCAACGAAATGATATGAAAAGCTCAACATTTCAATCATAATGTTCATCACGAATTTTTCCTATTTTCCTGTCTTTGGGTGGAGATGGTGGGACTTATTGATTGGACTGGGTCAAGAGGTTATGTTTTGTGTGTGGGATTTTTGCTAGTGAAATGCACTTGAAGTGCAAAACTAAACTTGCAAGTCAAACCTGAAGCTACAAAAAATAGGAGAAAATGGGAAACTCGAGAACTGAAAACTGAACTAAGGCAAACCGAAAACTAAACAAGTTTCTGGCTACCGAAAAACCACCTGACCCATACGAGCACACACAAATTACTTATGTGCGGATGGTGGGTGGTGGTTCGATGGGTGGTTCGGTGGGTGGCTCACTGGGTGGTTACACATTTCATTTTTTTTTTTGGTTACTGTTGTTGTTTGTTTTCAAGTAGGTCATTAGAGAGGCCTTCGCCCTTTGCCCAGCCACTTGAATTATTAAATTCCCCCGGCAGTTGAGCGAAGCGAAACGAGGCGCTTTTCCTGCCCTCGCTCCTCAAATATGCACATTTTTATATACATATACAGCCATCCATCCGTCCGTCCATCCATCCATCCGTCCATCCATCCATCCATCCATATATACATGCATACATATATAGTAAGTCCTATTCGCATTCGTAATCGTATTCCAGGTCTGCCAGACTGTTTCCATAACTTACCTAAAAGTGGCGAAAAAAGAGAGAGAAACAGAAATATTTATTGTAATTTTTGTGCTTTGAATTCGAGCAGCTTAAAAATGGGAAACTTTGACATTCAAGGGGACATAAATCAGCTGGAGAAAAAGTGCAATTTTGTTCTAGCACATATAGGTCAGGCATAAAAAATGATATATGTACATTTGAAATCCTCTTACTCCTGTTTTGCTTACAAAAAGCTTAAGCATCGATTTGTCACCCACAAAAGGTACTTTTAACCAATTTCAGTGCCTTTTTTTCCGCTCCGCAATTTAGTATTTAGCTATTTAAGTTGGAGTGAATTCTAGAGCACAGCCCGTTGTGGCCGCGTTCGGCTGGCAGTCCCATAAAAAGTAATTGGAATTTTCATTTAATATAAAAGCTGAGCGCACAACACAGGCAGCGGAACACAATCTAACCCACTTGGCAGCTTGCAATCGCACAACAACCAAAAACTATGCATATAAACGGGGCCACTGATGTTAGGATGTTGGGATGTTAGGATCGACCCACCCACCCGACTCCAGGAAACCCTCTCGAAAAATCCATCTCTTCCATTTTGAACTGGAAAAAGGATACAATGTAGCCAGTGGAGCAGGAGCATCATCATCCTCATCCTCATCCTCGTGGATATGTGTATCCCCGTGCAGGCTCGGCTCGTTGCTCATAAAACTCACTCAAGTAAAAGTACGAATGGTTTTCGATATGAAATGCATGAAACTGACAGGCAAACATATTGCGCCGCATTGCCGAAACCCGCCCACGGCCACGCCCACGCGGCCCAACGCCCACTTTTCCAACCCACTACACCGGGGAATAAAATCACATAAGCATCTTATTTTCACTCATTTAGTTGGCCTCCAAATATTTTTCCTTTTTCTGTTTGAATCTGGCTTTCGGATTTTTTAAACTTTTTTGTTTACCTAGTGCCCAAAGTTTGCTCGATTTTAATATAAAATCGTGAAAGCAGTTTCGAATGCGGTCATTATGCAGTATAAAAAAATAATAATAATTTTAAAAAATATTTTAGTTTACTGCATGTGAAATCGCTGAGCATCCTTAAACAAATTTCAACAAATACCTACAAAGTTGCATGGTATTAAAAAATGTTAATTTAACTCAAATTATTTTACAAAATGTATAGAATTTTCATATTTGTTTGAAGTACTGATTAATAGGCAATTCCTGAACAGTTGGCACATTTTTCGTGCTGTGCAGCCAGCCTCTTGTATCAGTTGGCTGACTGTTGGTTACCACTTGGCGATGTTGCTCCGCATACAGATCCACATCCACATCCACATCCTCAACCTCAACCTCCATCTCGTCCTCGTAAGCTCTTCCATCTGTGTGCCCTCGTTACCGCCCCTTCGCCCCTCCGGTCATTGTTGTGGGCTGTGTATATATACGAATTGGATATATCTATGTATATGTATACATATATATATATTGTATCCCAGTGCGAACTCCGCACCTCTCGCCTGTCTATTTATTCAGATATGAAAATGCATATTGTACACTCGACTCACGCCGCTCTATATGGGACATTTCTTTATCATCTCCATCTGCATATACACACAGATATTTTATCCTTTTTTCAATATGCAACTCTGTGGCAGTTGAGTGTGTGTAGGGAAAACGGACGGACCGAAAAAAGGATATATGGATGGGTACAAAATATAGGAGCTACTCATCGAGGCGTGCGTTTATTGCAATTGTGTTCCAGTTTCTTGCGTTTGAATTGGAGATGATTGCGCCGACGAATGGAGTCTCAAAAAATGAAAACAAAGCAACACCTTTGGGTGACATGGCAATAAGGGAACTGTTTGTTTTTTAATAAAACTCAAGGGGTTTTAAATGCTCTCTGGTTCACAGTGTTATTGCTACGTGCTCCGATTTCTGTCAGTCATTACTAGGTGAAATATTTAGCACATAACTCGTTTATTTCTGTATCCAACCATTGGATTTTCCTTAGGCACACAACACTGAAGCCCCATTCCATTATTCAAATGACTTCTTGTTGTGCTTGAAAACACTCGAAATGCAAACTGTTTAATTATGATACAAAGCACTTAACTCGGCACTTCTGTAATTTATATTTTCCTATTGAAATTTCCGTTTAATTGGGGTTTAAAGCACATTGCCTTCTAGGCTGACGTTTATTTTGCTACTTACATTGAGTATCGAATGGCTGGCAACGTTTGCTTTTGCCCAGAATTGCTTGTATTCCCTAATTATAACGTGTATTGCAGCGCAACAAGAACCACAGACCCGTGGACTCGATTGTTAATTAAGTCTTAAATCTGTGGCAATATTTCGGTAATGATAACAAGGCAACGCCAGTCAGACAGCACTGCGATTCGGTTGACCCGAGTTGACCTGTGCATAATCGCCATTTGCCTTTGTGCCCGGCATTTTGATGGCGTTGTAAATTCGCGATGACACTCGACTTAATTACAATTATTTGCACAGGTGTGCAGGTGACTGCACTTGCGGAAAAATAGGTGCAATTTTTAGGTATTTAGTATTTTGCTAAATTGTATCTAAAAAATGTATTACATGAATAAAACGATTTTAATGGGGTGATTTTAAATATTATATAGATCGCAAATTAAGCCCACGTACTCTATAACAAATGTCTTATATTTATGATGCATGTAATTTCCTTTGCATTACTTTCGACTTAAGAAAATGCTCATTATAGCATTGTAATATATACTACATGAGTTTCGGAGAGTCTTAAAGTGTATTTGAAGTATTTTTTGAAGTGCATCGAGTGCATTATTTACCTGCTGGAATGGTTCGGCTCGTGGGCAAAGGGCTCAGCGTAGATATTTCGCACGGGGGGCACTCGGCGGGGCAGGGGCGGCGGCACCGGATTGTAGCCATCCATGATGGTATCACAATCGGAGTACTTCATCGATTTCATAGTCATTTTGTGTCTGGTATTCACTGTACCGAGAGTGCGACAGGGCACTTTACTTAACGATTTATGTCGATTATTTATTATTTAATTATGCGTTTTTGTTTCGGTTTCGCGACGTTGCATTCGCTCTTGTCGTTTATTAATTATTACAACTATTATTACTGTTAATGGCAAGTGCAGGATTTAACCCTTCAGCGGCGATCGCGAGTCGTCTGCACCCCGTTCGATGCATGGACAGGGGCTGGAGGGGCCCACAGGGGCCTCGGTGGCATTGCCACCCGCGGATGGATGTGTATTCCCCGCGATTCAATGAAAATCTCTGCGTCGAAATCCGTATCTGTCGGATTTCCACTCGCTCTGGATCGCCGGTAATCTTTTCCTTAAAGTGTTTTTAAATCTTTTTCATGGCTGCCAATTGGTTATTTCCGATCTGAATGGGAATAGAAAATATTTATGTGAGTAATTAAGTGGGGTTGTCTTAAAGACAACAACCTTGTGACCTTCGTTACGCTTTACTATGTCCTTTTCCTGTTTCTCTTTGATCAGTTAATTTCTCTTCTTTGTGAAGATATTCCCTCCAACGTTTGATAACCAGTTTAGAAATGCCCAATATTTTAAAATATTTTTAATTATTTGCTCGAAGCATATTTATCAAAGTCTATTTTATTACGTTTCATTCAATTAGTTTTTATTTTTTCTAATATTTACTTGTAATTATAAATATAATTAAAGTTGCATTAATACTGATTTCCTAAACATGTAAATCGACCTTTTTATTCGCCATTTAAGTAAACATTTAATCAAGCGTGTAAT